TTACTTCATTATCAATGCAGGTATTCCAACAACAAAATATAGATTAGATAGAAATGAACAAATATTTTAATGTTTCAATGCATTTCAAGAATATAGGATTACTTTTCATAAAGTTGTATTTACTGGCTGAAGGACCTCGGCCGATGGCCATTTGGGTTGATCAATAAAGAACATTTATTATTATTATTAGCATTACTTAAAACTGAGCTTACAACCTCAGTAGTTATAACCAGTAGATTTGTCATACACTGTTGTTTAAATAAACAAGATCTAATATTTTTAATGAAGCCTTGAAACAAGTTGAATTGGGTAGGTGGTTTAACCCTTTCGGTCCCGATTTTTTTTCATTCGGAATGAAATTATGGAATTTGGTACATAATATCTCTATTTTTTTTGATGATTTTTAGTTTTTGTTAAAAAATCCTATCTATACCCAATTTTGACATTTGATATGTACACTGTAGTGTACACTAGGACTTAACGGTATCATAACACCCAATGCAAAAAAATTAAAAAAATATAAATCTTTATGATTTCTTGAAATATTAGCAATAAAAAATTTCAACTACTTATTGAGTTTTTATTTTCTAGTATGATATAGCAAAAAACAATTTTGTTTTTTCGCAATACATAAATGTTCATTACATTTTTGACACATATTATAAGTTCTGCTCTTACATTAGGGGAATTTGCAACGGGATTGCAATTTTATCATCAATTGTAGGTAAATGATTGTAGCCATCTAATCGGACTTCATCCACAGGCTGTACTTCCTACCAATTTCAAACAAACCTTCTGGTAAATGAGAATCAATCTCCCACCCCTCATCATCTTCGCTCAGAATGTCAAGGTCTGAGTCATTGTTTTTCAAATACTCAACAAGCTCTTCATATGAAAGTGGTCTTTTACTCATTTTGAAGAAATAATACTGAAAAAATACCCTATTTATAAACTCTCAAGATCTGGGTTAGGTATATTTTCTCACTTCACCAAGACCCGATGTACACGATAGTGTACGAGTCTATATTTGGTGAGAAATCAAAAAATGAAATCACCGAAGCACTAACTGAAATTTCAGACAGTCTGTTTGAACTGTTGTTTATTACTGAAAAAATATACAACTCTAATTATCCAAGCTAACAGAGACAAAAAAAATACTGAACAGATTCCTTCTTGTCTATTCCGCTGGAAACAGGATTCCACGACAATGAAATCTGCAATTTTCATTTTTGTACTCACAGATGGCACAACACGTATTATAAAGTTATTACGATATACACTCTGGTGTATGCTGGGGCGCAATAGTCATAAACAAGATATATTTTGAGAGAGAGAGATTTGAATTGGCGTACACTACAGTGTACGCCAGGACCGAAAGGGTTAAGGTAGAATGGGGTGATGACAAAGTTATTCCATGGGCGTGTACACCTTAGTAGAACTTTCAACTCAAACCATGTTTAGAATGATCCTTTTATACATAAATAATGATTGAAGACGTAATTCGATCGGAAAATTAACTGGAATGTTTTATTTTTGGACATGAAAAATAGTACTTTCTGAAAACGGACCCTCGTTATGACGTAGAAACCTCATCTCGCCATAGTTAAAAGAAAATACCAAACGCCCGACGGAGACTAAGGCAACTGATATATTAATTCTTTCAACTCTGATCTCCCGCTTATTCACACTGTCAGAAATCATGTATCATTCATCTCTGTCTGAAATAGTCTTGTTTCAGTATTAGGGTTTTGACGTCACATCATCGCCTCGTTTTCAGAGGTCCGAAAAATCGGGGATTTCAATAATTTTTTATAAAACGTAGGGAGCTCACAGCAAGAAACGGTTTGCGATGGTGAGCTAGTTTGGGTGAGTTCTATCGAATTATAAAATAAAAATTTTTTGTGATATAAGCCCATTAATGATTGAATATGTACCTACTTTGAAATATTCAACATTATTTTTCAATCCAATTAAACATAAAAGTTGATTTTTCTGAAAAACGGTCAACTTTAGAGCTTATGACCAGAAGTACTTTTTTGTGTATAAAAAAATTAACATTCAAATGGGCCACTCAAAACTAAACTTTTTCCAGTGGCGTGGAAGTTGAGGAGAAAAACACTCACTACCCCTTCAAAATCTCCACCAATTTGACTTGAAAAAAAAATCTGCACAAAACATTATTATGAGTAGGAAATGCTCACAAAAGCTGCTTTCTGTGTGATAAACGGTTCCAGAGATATTCACAAGAAACTTTTTTTTCAAATTTCAACACCCTGTACCTCTTACCCCTTACAGGGTAAGTTGATAAAAACTTTTTTTCATATTTTTGGACGAGCTATCACATCCTGAAGTACAGTGTGTCCAGTTTTCGATGCTTTTGTGTGATATCTCAGTTATCTTTGGAGATACCGGGACCTTCCGGTTTTCGCGGTCCTGTGCCACTTTTTTGTGAAACTCAAGATGGCTCAATCAGATTTTGCAAGATTGTTTCCGTTCATGAGATACAGGGCGATTTTGAAAATTTATACTTTTTGGACCCCCTCTATATCTACGAAGTTTCTCAACAAAAATGTCAAATCAAAATCTTATCGCAAAGAGAATTTTACGCAGAATCCAGTGGCTCACTTAATTTTTTTTTTCGGGGTATGGTTTTGGAGATACGACTCAAACTAATGATTTATTAAATGGATCACCCTGTATTTCATAAGCTCATTAAATTCCTAATTATTTTGTCTTCAAAATGATATATAATGAATGAATATAAAATTCTCAAAATTGCTCAAAATCACTAAAATATTGAATTTTGGTAGTTGGCTATGGATTTTTCTTATAAAAACGTTCCAATTGAAGAAACATTTCTTTAAATTTTTCCATGAGAGGTCAAAACCAATATCAACACTAATTAATTATCAAAACACTAAACTTGGGTACCTGATAGCAACAAATAAATAGTAATAAAAAGTAATGTAGAATAAGCACCTGATTAAATATTTACTTAAGCAATTGAATTTTGGAATTATTCAGTATCCTATTCATTGACATGTTCAAATTGATGTCCATTTTCCCTAACATACAGTTGACAAACTTTCTCAATACTTCTTAATACAGTGAGTGGCCCAACATATACTTGAAAAACTTTGTGCAACAGCAGATTCAGTTTTCCAGGAATTACAAAGACATCATTCAATGATTCATATATGTATTGAGTAAGTTTGTGATGGAAAATGGACATCAATTTGAATAATGCAATGAATAAATTACTGAATAATTTCGAAATTCAATTGTTTTAGTGAATATTCACCCATATGCTTATTTATTCTACATTATAAATTTCTTATTACTATATCTTTGTGGATATCAGGTATCTAAGTCTTGTGTTTTGTAAGTCAATTAGTGTTGAAATTGTTATAACTTCCTTCATGGAACAATCAAAGGAAATATTCCTTCAATTGTAAATTTCGTTATATGAAAATCCCTCGAAAAACCCATAGCCCACTATTAAAATTCAATGATTTTTCAACATTTTTGAAAATTTTGTATTCATACATCATATCATTTCGAAGGGAAAAAAATGAGAAATTCAATGAGCTTATAAAATACAGGGTGTTCAATTTAAAAAATCATAAGTTTGAGTCGTATCTTCAAAACCATACCCCGAAAAAAAAAATTAGTGCGCCACTGGATTCTGCATGAAATTCTCTATGGGTCAAGATTTCAATTTGACATTTTCACTGATAAACTTCGTAGATATAGAGGGGGTCCAAAAAGTATAAATTTTCAAAATCGCCCTGTATCTCATAAACGGAAACAGTCCTGCAAAATCTGATTAGGCCATCTCGAGTTTCAGAAAAAAATGGCACAGGACCGCGAAAACCGCAAGGTTCTATCTCCAAAGATAACTGAGATATCCTCGGAGATATCATGCAAAAGCATCGAAAACTGGACACACTGTACTGTGCATATATTATGAAACACCCTGTATATCTGATATTTATTGATTGATATACAGGGTGTCCCTAAAAGGTCTTCACAAAAACCTACCACATAATATTCAGACCAAGACAATTTGATACAAGCAAACTCATCTCAGTACAAAGTTGCTTAGTTTAAGAAGCATTTACTTCTTTTTAAAGAAATAAATACCAGAGCAAAAAATTCTTGATATTTTGCATACAAATTAATATGTGACAACAGTGTGTTATAGCTAACAATTTGGGTCTGGATTTTGCAATCCTTGAAAATTCATCAAATGACAAGTTTTTTATATTACATATTTTAGGAAAAATATTATTTTTGTCTTGTTTTTTGTTATTTAAAATTAAACTGAAGTTTGATTTTAGTTTCTACCAATATAGAGCTATTTAAGATTTTGTTTTCTTTGCATTTTAGCCGAGATTTTAGCCTAGGAACAATATCAAAATTTCTGATATATTTATATCTGATAATAGGATATTTTGATATTTATATAAATATCATATTTGCCAACCCTGTTTTTAACAGAGGTGACATATTTGACATTTTGCTTCCACCATTTGATTCCTTCATCTTTTTTCTACAAGAATAGTATACTTCATTTCAATTGATATCTTGTACCTTTCAAGAGAAAATAACATTTCAAAAACATACAATTTCAAAGGTAATAAAAACTCTATTCATTCAATAACATCATGCAAGACAGCATGGTAGTTGCTGGCATTGTCATAATTAACATCAAATTATTTTACCAGTATTTAATACTTCCACAACACCATGGATGTAAGTAATGATATGAGTTTGCATGGACTTGTAGAAACTTTCATGGTCAATAACTCTGTAATAAACTGTGATATAATTTTTTCATATATGAAGTACTAACATATTATTTTAGCTCACTTTATCTGCCCTATCATTCAAGACCTGACCTTTCTGGACACCTTGTATATCATATTTGTTGACAAAAAGGTTGATGATTAAATTCTTTAGGTTACAGGAATATCTAGTGCTCCTAGATAACTTATTACCTTCAGCAGCATCTTCATATTCCAGCAACTTTTGCTCAGATCCTTTCCTAGCACCCTTTTCTCTCTCATACTGTGTTACTAGCTGTTCATTGTCCTCTCTCAGCAATTCAAGTTCCACATCATGTTCCTGTTAGAATGATTTATGTTATTATGCGCCTACTGTTTGTTGTATATTTGCTTCATACCTGATTTTGTTGGTAGGCTGCATCCAGGCATTCCAAAACATTCACAAGTAATGGCATCAAAGTTTTGACAACATCTTCATCATATCTTGCTATCATCCTCTCAAATTCCTGATAAATGCTGCCTGCAAGCGATTGTACTTTTTCTGACATGACAACATGAGAATCTTCATGGGTTCCATATACAGTCTCGGCCCCAAGACCAAGGCTCCCTCCATGGTCTTCCAAACTCATGATTTTTTGTTTTTATTCTCAAGGGCTCGAGAATCCTATTTTCGGTAACGATATTCGATTGCACATATCAGCACTATATGAAATACGAATAAAATGAAGAATGCAATAATTCGCATGTACTATTGGATTTGCGTAAGGTTTGTGAAATTTATTTTTATTTGACAACCACCCACTATCCCACTGATTGTTGATTGATGCACTGACTAATTCAGACTAATTGTCAAATAGTCAAAATTTGACAAACCTGTCATTTTTCACAAACGTCAAGATATGATGGAAGCATATATCTACTACTCTATATATTAAGCATAGTTGTCTTCTAAGCGGGACCAACTTCTTTCAATAGGTAACGAAATCGACCAATAGGCGTTGATGCCGACGTAGAGAAAAAATAATACGAAACATGGTAAACCATTATGGCTACGAATTTAAAATTTTTAAATTGGTTTTAGCGCGTATGTGATTGATTGTGATTGAAATTCGAATATTTGCGTTTTTAGTTGAACAATTCTTTAGTGTTTGTGTTTTCGTTTATTTTCCATAGACTGAACTTTTTTAACCATATCAACGAAATGCAGTATTTGCGGAGTGAAGAATAGACATTTTTTGAATTGACTCGGCCGTTACTTGATGGAAAAATCCAGTACCAGTGTACCAGTATATCACCTGACGAAGCTACTGTGTTAGCTAAACATGTCGTGTGTTTGAGAATTTTGTGGAAATCTTATCGTTTGTGAAGTTTTTACATAAAGAATAGACGTAAGTAAGTTTTGATTTGCGAAATATTGGGTTTGCAAATAAGTAGGTAAATCTGAAACTGAAAATCATTGAACTGAAGTTAGGATTTAGGAGAAAGCTTTCGATAATAATTAGATATTAATATCTTATCTGATGCATATAGGTAGTACGGTAGGAACTAATAAAGGCTAATTTACCTTCATTTTACTCGATTTTTTTGGGATTTTCTCCTCGTTTCTATGAAATAAAAAAAAGGGGCTTTATTCCAATATATTTGTAGTGGAACAAATCAGATGATTTGTCCCAAAATGTCACTGTGTTTAATAAATTTTTCACTCAGGGAGTCTAAAAGAAAAATCCAGTAGCTTGTCAGTGACAATTTGTTCGAAAAATGTTTGAAGAAAAGAAATATAGATATATTCAAAAAATATCTAATTTTTACCTATCTTTGGACGTTTCGGGACCGAATCTGCTCCCATTCTCACCCAGATAGCACAAAGACATCTTTAAGACATCCTAAAGACATCGTTTTCAGACGTTCACAACGTCTTTAAGACGTCTATGGACGCCTTAGAGACGTCTGAAAGACGTCCTCAATAGGCCGGATGTTAAAAATCACGACGTCTTTAAGATATCTTTATAATGTCTCTTCTGAGTCTTATAAAGGCATAGAAAAGACATGAGAAAGACCTCATTTCTGAATGGATTTCAGGGTTCCCCTGGGGATTAATTAAAGTGGAATTTGAAGGAAAAAAATAGTTGATCTTTGTGACATTTATTTGAAAAGTACAACTACCAAGGACAGGTTTGACATTTCCAGAAAAGTTGCTGGTCCACCCTGTTTGTGATAGGAAAATTGAGAATATTCATTATGTTTCATATAACTGGTCTCTTCATTTTTTTCTTAAAACAGGGCATCTCATCTACAGAAATACTGATTGTATTAGTCCCTCTGTTGATTGCTTTTTGTGTCAACCAAGCATATTCATATCTCTGGAAGATCCCACATTCTTCCTGAAAACAATGATTTATAGAGTTGAGTTTCAGGAGTTTACCAATATCATTATTAGGGAGAGTTCTTCTTACCTGACACACACAGTGGACTGTAAACATAATAAGGCATAATACTTATTATACTTCAATGCAATCATTTGCATCCATTTGACCAGCCAAAACCAGGTGGCCCGCATTTATGAGCTCAGCTTCATTTTGGAGACACTGAATAACTGAAAAAGTGTAGACAGATTGAAATGCACAGGCTAAATGGCCAAATCATAAGAATTCTTGTTCAATAATGATAAAAACTTACAGCTTATTATTATGTTGGTATAGGTTTTAGGTTAAACATTCCAACTAGAGGTAGGTAGGTGTTCTACTGTTAAACATCAGAGATGTTATTGTCCTCTATCAAAACACAATGAACCACTGGAAAACACGGATTAAAAAAATACACAAATATCAAAGCTGAGATTGATTGAGAACTCAAAACGAAATTAACATAAACACACCTCTCAATAAACACCATCACCAAAACCAAACAATGTAAAATGTAAACAATCAAATAGTACTGGCATTCGCCGTTCTGGCTCTGGCGCAACGATCTCTCATTCGCTTGACATGGCGGTATTTTCAAATCATCCCACCCGATTTATAAAATAACTTACTCTGAACAATCTATAACCTCTATGTATTACGGTGAAGTTATAAAAATTATGAAATTGAAAATATTCTATGAGCCTGAATCAATATGATCATACCTATATTTTGTATTAACAGTTCAACGCATATTATGAGAATACAACCATAACTATATAAGTGTGGAATTCAGGAATTCTGAGAGTGGAGAACGTTCAGATATGACACACTAAAAGTCATTATGATTAATACTTATTATAATATACCAAATATCATTATTGCTCATTTGTATTATTACGATGTCTTTAAGACGTATTCAGGACGTGAGAATCAGATATCTTTAAAACGTCTGAATGATGACATCTTGTAGACGTCTTATTCAGGGAGTAAGACGTACAGACTAAGATAGGATATAATTCAGACATCTTAAAGACGTCTTGTGCTATCTGGGCAACATAAAAATGCAAAATATTTCTCTTTGGAGGTTGCTGCAGTTTGACACTTTTCAGTGTCATACTGATGTTGGCATATGAATGAGTGATTTATTAGTCTACAAATGACTTACAGGATGTTTTCATTATTTGGTCTTGAATCTACTATTTTCATGTTCAGTTTTCAGTAGTGAATACCATGTTTTGTCTATATCAACTGAACAGGAAGCAATGCTATTGTCTCCGTTCAGGAGAATGCAAGCGGATTCCTTGATTTTTCTTTTTTGGTTGTTATCTTCCTTTCCTATGATTTTCATATTATTCCACTCTGCCATATGTTGTCCATCTTCAGTAAGTATATGTTCAGTTTAGATCATACAGGAATCTAAGGTTGTTCCACTACTGCAGGTTCGTCGTTCGTCGGTGGTCGGCAGTTCACTTGATATTTAGATTAGAGCCTAGCCAAGGCACCACTAAACGGGAAATATTGCCACGGTGGCAAGTCAAGAGCGTATAAAATTGTTTCGTAGTTTGTTTTTTTCCAGAAGCGTGGTGGTCATTAAAGTATTGTTCCTTCCTTCGAGCAAAAAGACCGGGGTTCGAAAAAAAATGTTTTCGAAGTAATTAATCGAAAAAATACTAAAAGGAGGCATTTATCGGTTAGGCCGATAGTGATTCGCTACTTCAATTATGTTTCTTCTCAGGATCGCCCGGAAATTTTCAGTTTCACGCGCCCAGCGAGTTGCGAGCACTGTTGCGAGCGAGGCGCAATATTACCTCGCTATGGTGCTATGGCTAGACCTAGTGATATTTAGCCTTGGCCGTCATTGCCCCACCACTATTCCATTTTATGACGCAGACTCCGCAGACGCAAATGGCAACACTGGGTTCTTGTACATATATTTCTATATATGGCGCATCACCTATACGACATCTCAACAAAAATGGGACCAAAATGAGAGGTACTTTTTGAATCTCAGAATCTATAAGGACGGAAAGTGAAGGATGGAAAATTTGACATAAGTAGCCATATTATATTATTTTTTCCCTACTTCAGCATCTGCGCCTATTGGTCGATAGAAGTTGGTCCCGCTTTGAGGACAGCTATGCTTCACATATAGTTAGTATTAGAGTCCCTGTATATACCTTAGACTAGAGTCCCTGTATATATCTTAGACAAGAGTCCGGACACAGCTATACTTCTGTCCTTTTCTGTTTTCAAAAAATGCATTGATGATTGAATAAAGGAATAAGACATATATATCGAGCTCTGTCTTTTCAATTCCCCTAGTATCAATGATTGTCAGAAACAATTTTGAGGGTTAGATTATTTGTCAAACCGTTCATAGCCGTAGATAGAAGTGAGAAATAGGGCTATTTTAACTAGAATAACTATGAGATAGCTATTGCAAATTTTCGTCATCAGATATTTCTTCACTTCATATGATATAAAAAAGATAATTTAAATGTTCTATGTGGTCGAGAGAGAAGAAAATATAGTTGTTTTCTGTTCGGATATAAAAAAATAGAAGATATATAATTGTTTCAATATAATTTTCTCCGATTCTCTCAATTCAATAACACTCAGCGGATATTAAAGTGACAAAACAAAATAAAAATATAATATATACCTTTATGCCTTATAAACATTGATTTTTATATTTATCTAACATAAGGGACAATGATATGTGAAAGATCCAATTGATAAACTATTATATACACCTAATAGCTATACTTATATTAACCTCATGGTACATATACTATATAGTAGATATAATTGAAATCATAATCGCAAGATTCTTAAGATCAGTATCTATAGGTATCTATATCGTCTAGGATTCCTCCGATGTTGAATTAAAAACGCCGTGGAATGATGACATAGCACATTGCAATTTCTCTAAATCTTCTAGTTTTGATTTCAAACTTTCAATTTCTTTCCGCATCATCTCATTATCATTTTCTCTCTCTGCGATCGTATCATTCAGTAATTCCCAATACGATGACGACGGAACTCTTTTTTTGAACGTCTCTATTTTATAAATTGACGGCACAGCAGACTCTTTCAATTTGAAATCCATCAGCTTGAAAGAATCTCTATCAAAATAGGCCTAAAATTAATCTTTTTTGTACTGTTTTTACAAGTAAATTCGAATGTTTACCTCACATATTCCGATTTCTTGAAATTAATTTTCCATTCTGGACGTTACATTGCATTCTTCCATGACATTATCTTTAGAGGATCATTCGGAAAATCGAATAACTCGAATCCCTTTTCTAATGAATTATCGCAATAACGTACGCAGCAGGACATAGAAATAATTTAAAATGCTAAATTTTGGCGGTCATAAAATTTCGAAGTGACAGTGACAGAAATTCGAAATAATTAAAAAAAGCGGGCGGGACGACTATGGTGTTTCGTCACATTGTCAGGTTGACAAACCAAATGGAACAAAATATTAAAAACCCCAACGGCTGTCAGTTTTGTGTCCGGACTCTTGTCTGAGGTATATACAGGGACTCTACCTTAGACAAGAGTCCGGACACAGCTATACTTCTGTCCTTTTCTGTTTTCAAAAAATGCATTGATGATTGAATAAAGGAATAAGACATATATATCGAGCTCTGTCTCTTCAATTCCCCTAGTATCAATGATTGTCAGAAACAATTTTGAGGGTTAGATTATTTGTCAAACCGTTCATAGCCGTAGGTTGAAGTGAGAAATAGGGCTATTTTGACTAGAATAACTATTAGCTTTTCAAATAATGAACAACGGGGTGTTCAAATTTCGAATCGATAATTTTCATAATCATCAGCCAGGGGCTCCGTGGCCGAGTTTGTCTATGCGCTGAAATTCGCTAGATAGCCGTTCACGATGCGGAGGTACTGTCGGTTCGAACCCGGCTATCGGCTGAGCATTTTTCTTTAAAATGTTGGTTCATGGTTGTAATCCTGGCAGCACCTCGATGCCCTAGAAGTGGTTCGGATTCCACTATAAGCTGTAGGTCCCGCTCTTCCTAACCCCGCACAAGTTTCGACTTCTGGGGAGTTGGTTCCCAAATTTGAAGTAGCGATATACAAATTGTTTCAGATAAAAAAAAATCCTGAGATGGCTATTGCAAATTTTCGTCATCAGATATTTCTTCACGTCATTAGATATAAGAAAGACAATTCAACAATATAGTTGTTTTCTGATGGGATATGAAAAAATAGAAGATATATATTTGTTTCAATATGATTTTAATTGTGTCGGTTTCCCACCTCTTCCTGCAGTCTACATTCACCTGTAAATTTTGAATTTGATCTGAATTAAAAATACCGTGGACTGATGACATAGCACATTGCAATTTCTCCAAATCTTCTAGTTTTGATTTCAGACTTTCAATTTCTTTCCGCATCATCTCATTCTCATTTTCTTTCTCTGCCATCGTATCATTCAGTAATTCCCAATACGATGACGACGGAACTTTTTTTTGAACGTCTCTATTTTATAAATTGACGGCACGGCACAGACTCTTTCAATTTGAAATCCATCAGCTTGGAAGATTCTCTATCAAAATGGGCCTAAAATTCATCTTTTTTGCACTGTTTTTTCAAGTAAATTCGAATATTTACCTCACATATTGCGGATTTCTTGAAATTAATTGTCCATTCTCGACGTTCCATTACATGCTTCCATGACATTATCTTTGAAGGATCATTCGGAAAATTGAATAACTTGAATCCCTTTTCTAATGAATAATCGCAATAATGTAGGCAGCAGGACATCGAAATAATTTAAAATGCTAAATTTTGGCGGTCATAAAATTTCAGTGACAGTGACAGAAATTCGAAATAATTAAAAAAAGTGTGCGGGACGACTATGGTGTTTCGTCACATTGTCAGGTGGGCAAACCAAATGAAACAAAATATTAAAAACCCCAACGGCTGTCAGTTTTGTGTCCGGACTCTTGTCTAAGGTATATACAGGGACTCTAGTTAGTATATGGTATATTACTACATTTCACCCAAATCTGGTACAATTTCATGTTTTGGTCAGTACATTTAGCTCAAATTTAGTACAATTGACCATTTATTACAGGAACCTAGAAGAAATAAAAACATGAATTGGCCTGACTGCGCTGCTTATGGCTATCAGCCAACCAGCTGGCTGACCATAATGCAATTGAGTTTTTTTTATCGCTTGGAGCGCACGAAAGGACATCCCTATAATGTTCAGAGAACATCGTGCGTTCCTAGGGAGGATAGGGACAGGAGGTAGGTATTGGAATTTGTTTTGAACTTCTGGAGATTATATGTTGTTGGGAATACTTCCTCAGACAATGATTTCCAGAGCCTAGCCGTTCAATGGATGAAGGAGTTTTGATGAAGTGCTGTTCGACATCTTTCGAGGTTGACAACGAAAGGATGTGCTGACTGGGCTTGTCTAGTTCGTCTGACTGGTATTGCTAGTGAAGGGATGATATAGCAGAGATATCCATAATTCAACTTCAACTGTCACAATTGTCAGTACTGTACAATGCTTTTTTTAAATATCTGATGTAAAGTCATACTTTATGGATGATGCTGTATATTTTTTGTATCTTTCAAGAATGATGGAGGTATTTCCATCATTCTTTTGAATCTTTTGAGCTATTATGTGGGGATAACACCAAAGGGATATTTTTTTATGATTTTTTTTTCTGATTCTTCCTCATTCATACTTAAGCGGCGTTCACAACCAAACTTTTCACGTTTTGCTTTTTACGTTTCGTATTCTGATTGGTGAAGCAGAATCTGAAATTTAAATGTGAACTAAACCAACGCAAATATCATTCACAACAACAAAAAATCAACGTGACTTCTTATGGCTCAGTTGCCTTGGTTTTGTTACTTGTTTTTCATCCTGAAATGAAGTAAATAATCATAACAATAATATTGATCAGATAATTAATAATATTGAATTGATAGAACTGGCGGTGACGAAAATTGATCCTTATTCAATACTTGAAGAGAAAAATCAATCTTCAACAAGAAAATAATGAATTGAACAAAATACCTATCTACTATTCTGTGGATTCACGAAAAAATCATGAAAACATTATCATAACTTCCATATTATCACAGGATGTTCCATATTATTCGTCTATTTTTACTATTTTCACAGACGATGGCTTCTTGCAACGCAAAAAGCTGAATATTTTCAGCTTTTTGCGTCATTTCAATTTCAGATTTTGCTTCACCAATCAGAATACGAAACGTAAAAAGCAAAACGTAAAAAGTTTGGTTGTGAACGCCGCTTTAGTATTTCTTTATGGATGACACAACACAGCTTTATGTTTCGCATCTTTTTGGCTATGTACCTGAGGAAATTTCTTATTTTATTTTCTTTTTTTTTTCAATTCTCATTTCAATATATGATGTAGTTATTTCTGGCAATGAAAAATAAGAAATATTTTTCATCAATATTTTCATCGATTTTTCAAAACTTTGTGTCTGGTACATTTCACTTGGTTTTAGTACAATTCAATAGTGATTTCAGTACAATTAGTTTATTTCTTCTGGCAACACTGGCAGTGGCAGTGAGTAGTGAGCAAAGTAGTGAGTGCTAGTGACTAGTGAAGTAGTGAGTACTGAGTTAACTGAGTGTCAACTGAGTGGTGACAGTGGCGTGTGGCAGCCATTACGTTTTTGAAATTGGCCGAATTGGCGTCGCTCATTCTTTCCGATTCTGCTGGTGTGTGGATATTCTTAACTTAATTGTTAATTGATGATATAATCCTAAGTTCTCCACAGTTCTCAGCATCTAAAATGAGTGATTTAAAATCGTTTCTTCATCAGTTTTGCCAGAAAAATAAAAAAGAACCTGCATTCGAAGTTAGGCCGACAGGTGAGCAATGATTTTAATTTAATTTTCAGGTTTTTCTTATTAATCGTGAACTTCAGGTCCTAAACACCGTCAAAGGTTCTTATGTGAAGTTCGTATAGAGGGTTACAATTATGTGGGTGCTGGAAATTCAACAAACAAAAAAGATGCCCAATCCAATGCTGCTAAAGACTTCGTTTCATTTCTTGTACGGCAGGGACACGTTAATCAAAATGATGTTCCTGTAGACATCGATGCCGCACCTGCACCTACCATTCATCGTAAGCATTTGTGTTTTACTAGTTGGTATCCATTCTCACAAAAAATATTTCAGATGGTCCAAGTGAGGTGTTATCTAGTGGTCCTCAGCATTCTGTTTTCGAACAGGGCATGGGGCCTTCTAGTTATGGAGAAGCTTACCGCCCTCGTGGTAGGGATGATGGTGATTGGCATTATATGGACAGAGCTCAAGAGCAACAAAAAATGGAAGAGGCTGAAGATTTAGATGTGAATGCCCAAATCCATGGAAATTGGACTGTGGAGAATGCTAAATCTAAATTGCATCAATTTATGCAGGCGAATAAGATACATGCTGATTACAAGTATACCCAAGTTGGTCCTGACCATAATAGGTATGTTGATATTATGCTATCTTTAATGTCTATTATATATTTTTTTGATTATCAAGGTTAAGAATAAAAAGCAAATTGACTGTTTTCACTCCATTTGTCCATCCCATAGTGAATAAATTTACTTTGTATAGCAAACATAGTTGATGGGTTATTTGAGAATAGGGATGAAAACAGTCATCTTGCATGAATATATTATTCAAGCTTACTCCTCAAGTGAACTTATTGTTTGTTCACTTATCTCTAAGCTGATTATGTTTATTTATTACAATTTGCATAAAAAATGAGGCTCCATTGAAGGATTCATTGAAGTCTTGAATTTTATGCAATTTGTTGGCAACATTTTTATACAGGTCCAGTATAAAAACTAGACCAAGAGCAGTGGAATGTATAACCTGAACTGAAATAATGACATTATTATACCAGATCATTATGAACAAATTATTTGAGGTCCTTACAAGTAGAAGTACCTTGAATAATTCATTATGAAAATTTTGGTTCACATTCATATAGTGCCAAAATATTCATGTCCACAACTGAAACTATGGGTCTTTTAATTCCTTGGGAATTTTTACTGTGTTTAGAAACATGACTAATTGCTCTTGGTTTATGTTTTCATACAGGTCCTATGCCTTACAATACAGATAGATACATGTTGATTTGCATCAAATAGTAAGTACACCATACATTTCAAAAATGCAGCAGCAACTGCAATTTGATTTTTTTTTTCTAGAACATTTGTTGCTGAACTAAGTTTCTATGTAAAACAGTTGAGTCGAACAATTCATGGAAGAGATACTGGTTCAAACAAACAGACTGCCAGCAAGAGTTGTGCTCTTTCTGTGGTCAGACAGCTATTCCATCTTGGTGTCATTGAGGCATTTTCAGGTATGTACTATATATATCAAACATTTGCTTGCTAGGTCAAAAAGTACTGGAAATATCTAAGATTTTTTCAATGTTGCCAAACATTCAATATCAGTTGAAAGATGTATGGTTGTTCAAAACATCATTAGTTTGCAATGGATTGTGTTATTGTATCTCATACCTATACCAATTTTAGATACACCTAGTTTGAGTATTTTGAGATATTGTGACCATACATTCAAAAATTTTGTATTTTCTCATGATAGTGAACCTGCATATAAAATATATAGTGTGATCATTAAAAAATATACCATGAGGACCAAAAGTCCGTCGCCCCCCCTGTAACTTCTTTATTCTACATATTACAAAACAATGTTGAATACATAAGTTGTAGGGTTTCATTTGATCTCTTAAGTGGTTTAAGTTTCATTCATACAGACTGTCTCTAAAAAGCAGGGTGACTTAGAAGTTAATTTTTTTAAATGGGACACCCTGTAATTCATTGCATTTTCAGATTCTCTCTGAAGATCTGATTACATCGATGTATCACACTTGGGGTCTAGCGGAAAGGATGACAGAGATATAGGGTGTGAAAAATTGTCATTTTTCAACTTTAGGAATTTTTTTTGTCAAAACTATTCATCATTGGTCAAAACGGCTTACATGTCCCTATCTCAACTTTTGATTAACTATCTACTGATATTTAATTGGGACATATACTGGGTGATCAGGATTCTGAATTGTGCACCACCTTTCCGCTAGACCCCAAGTGTGATACATTGATGTAATCAGATCTTCAGAGAGAATCGGAAAATGCAATGAAATACAGGGTGTCCCATTTAAAAAAATTAACTTCTAAGTCACTGTGCTTTTTAGAGACACTCTGTATGAATGAAACTTAAACCATTAAAGAGATCGAATGAAACCCTACAACTTATGTATTTAACATTTTATTGTAATAATAATAATAATAATAATAGTACTTTATTGAACCAAACATGATCCAAAGGGTTATTGACCGAGGTCCTTCTACCCATGGCTTCGATTAACAATACATACATCATTTTATGTGGCTATCATAAGTATGACAAATGTACAAAAAAAAAAAAGGACATTAGAATAAGTAGATCCTTAAAAAAATAAACAAATTGTGTACATAGAAATTATGAGAGAACTCAGTGGTTAGCAGTGGATAGGCGTTCCATTTTTTCCAGGGTGGTTTCTTCTGGGTATTTATAAGAATTTCGAATGGTGGGATCCCTTGTGCAACAGAATCTTCTCACTATTTCCAAGTTCTCTTCTTTCTTGCAGAATCTTTGTGCTAGGCCCAGAATTCTTTCTTCTATTGGAGGAATGTTCAAGGTCTGGTATAGTAATTGGTTCGGGGGGGGGTTGTGGAGGAAATTACGGGGATGGCGTAGGTGAGATATTTTTCTCATAGCTGTTGTTTCTGCTACTTTCAATTTATTGATTGCCTGTTGTTTGCAGTTCAGGAATATGATGCTTCCATATTCTATCATGGGTCGACATATGGTCTTGTAGATTCGTTCAGCTGTTTTGGAATCGATGCCTCTGCCTTGATAGATCAAGCAGCTGAAGTGTTTCGCTCTGGATATCATGCTCTTCTTCTATGTGCGTTGAAGTTCATGTTGGTGTCAAAAGTGATTCCCAGGTATTTTACATTGTCTTTTGGATAAAGGGTTTGTTGGTTTAGGACTATGGTTGGCGAAGTATTTTTGAGGCGATGATTAAACAGAATTAATTGGGATTTATTCGGATTGGGTAAAAGACGCCATTTATTAAACCAGTCGTTGGTTATGTTAATTAAATTTTGGAGATTGGCCACTGCTTGTTCTGTAGTTTTGTCATGTGTTATTATTGTAATATGTAGAATAAAGAACTTACAGGGGGGTCGACGGACTTCGGTCCTCACTGTATAATTAGATGCTGACAAAATTTCTGAGAAGTTCAACGGTTTTTCTATTGTCTACAATTTTAAAATATTATTTTCCATTGATTTTTTAATGATATTAATCTACTTTGATGTGGTCCATTGTATTTTAGTAGTAACTGTTTAAATTCTATTATATATTTTATGTGGAGTTGAAGTGTGTATGAAAAATTGATTTTAGATTCAAAATGTAATGTAAATATTTCAAGGGCATATTGTTGAGATCAAAATAAGACTCTGAGCTACAGCCACTGTAAGTTGGGTAAAAAAATAATCTGAAATTTTGTGGTCATAATAACAAATCAAATTGTCTGAAAATTGGCATGCCACCACATGCTTCTGTAATTTTAGGCTGTACCTATTTTTTTTGCTTCAAAAATTATGTTAATGCTGAGGTTAACCCAGTTTTTGGGGGAGTTGGAGGGGGTGCATTTTAGGACACATGTTTATATGAGAAAGGAGTCTAATTTTTATCACAACAATATGTTCTTAAAATATTTTCATTAAATTTTGAATCACCCTGTATATGTGTATGTCAAGGCACTGAAGTTGATATTTTTCCAAATTAGGAGATAGATTTCATTGAGGTACTGATCCATTTTTGAAATTTTTCGTGAAGGACAGTAGGTAACTTGGTTTTCCCTTGAATCAAAGTTGAAAATGGATATAAATTCAGAATTCTCATGACATTGTTTGTTAGATTGGATAGCATTCAATGAAATTTTGAGCCATTTTTGCTATTGTCATGAAAAGTAGTTGGCAACTTGATTATCCCTTGGATTAAAGTCAACAATGGGTATGGATACATAGTCCTCATTATATTTTATGTAAAGTTAGATACTTTTTTATGCGATAATAAGCTATTTTTCATATCCAACATGACGATCAGTAAAGGGACTTTCTTTCATTCACTTCTTTTATTCACCGGTGGCTCCATCAATCTACCAACTGTGTTCATATATTTTTTGGTGGATTCCAGTTTGACATAACCACGTGTTCATGTATTACTGTTGTGTCAACCAAATTGCAATTCACCATTCCACTGGACGAATTTTGGTGGCTTCCAAAATGACAGCAACAGCATAACCTCAAAAAACTAAAAACAACATATTGATCATTCTAGAACACGTGATTTTGACATGGTTTCTTGAGGGGCACACAAACTATCTGTTAGGTTACCTTTGATGAGCATAGCTCTGGCCATCCCTGCCACATCCACAATATAATAACAGTTTCACCAAACAAAATCATGAAATTATTTCTGGTTCCAACTCGGATTCCAAGGGAAACGATCCCACTAATTCTGGTTTCATATGACAAATCTTGACAAAATATAATGTTTGCCCCTCAGCAACCTGTCAGATGACGTAATTCTGGAATGATTAATTGTGTTTGAAAGCTATTTGAAATTTGCCTAAGAAAAAAGATGACTTAATCAAATTCAGTCAGAATATGAGAATTATTGACACCATTAAAGAAATTTCAAGTGGTAGGTACTTTTTTCTTTCCCATCATAAATTTCAAGAAATTAGTGCAAACATTCAGGAAACTTGAGTACCAACAGAGAATTCTTATTAATGACTATCTATATCATCATAATTTAATGCAATGTTTTGTATATAGGTTGTTGAGAATTTTCAACCTATCTTGTCTACTCCCCAACATAAACACTTCTGGATCTGGAGACAAGGAGTCCAATAACATTTTTAATACTTCATTTTCCATTAGTTTTAGCCAATTCTGAGCTTCTAATTGAAAACATCCTAAATCACCATCAAATCATGAAAAGAAAAATAAATAATGGAAAAATCAGTTGTGATTGTCATGTCAAATAACTGCGTTTTTTTTTTTCAACACTGATGACTCCAATAATTCGGTACATCAGAGAGTGACGTGTCATTTCCATCTATGATGAAAATGTGGTGTAAGAAAGAACATACCTCAGGTATCTCACCCATTTCTTTGAGCCAAGACAGAATTGGTATAGATTGGAAATTATCATAAAATTTTACGTAAGATCAGCTAGATTTAATTGATATACAAGGTGCTTCACAATTCAGTATCAAGATTTCAACGGTTAAAAATGAGACTTTTTCTATGACCGTTATCGAGCAAATAATTGCAATATTTTTTTGTAATTTGCTACTTATTTGAAATTTTCAACAACAATGACAAATAGAAGTAGTTGGCTTTGACTGCTAACATTTTCACTCTCACCAGTTGGCGCCACTAAAACATGAGGTCAGTGTCAAAGTCAAAATGTTCCTGATTTTGCTGGATAGACTTAATATCAAATGACAAATCAAAAAAAGAATGTGATATAGAATAGAAATAGAATAGAAAAATATTTATTGTAATAATATAATTATTACAAGAGGGGTACGTTCGCATAAACACGTTCTTCCACGCCCCCTTTACCAGGTACATTCAAGTTAAGATAATTACAAAACAACAAAAATCTAATATCAAATACATAAAAACGATCTAAAATTAATGAAAAAAAACAAAAAACAAAAACAAATAATATATATACACATTAATATCATTCTAAAACTATCACAACTATCAAAATTATCGATATTATTCATAAAACTGACTGATAGATGAGCAAAGCAATCTTCAAATTTTGATGTTTTGTGCTGGTGAATATCGTATCTCCACATATTTCGAAGTTGTCGATCATGAATTTCATTTCTTGGGATAAGATAATTATGCAAATATTCTGGTTTTTTGTCAGTATAGATTCTAAAAATATATACAGCAAAAAACATTTGATATCTGTAATTTGTTTTAAGATGTTTATTATCATTGTAAATAGCAGTAACATGATCAAACTTTCTTACGTTGTATACGAATCGCATACAAGAATTCTGAGCCAACTGTAATTTATTTTTAAGTTCAATTGTCAGGAAGCTGTAGTACACTGTCATACAGTAGTCAACTTGTGGATAAAGGAGAGTCTCAACTAATTTATACTTGATTTTTTCATTGAGGATGAATTTGAATTTATACAATGACTTCAGTTTCATGAACATAATTTGAATTTTCTTATTAACGTGTTCCTCAAAAT